ATATTTTTTCGATACAAAACAGAGAAATTTCCATGCCCCTTTAACTTGTAATTTATTTATATTAATTATGAACATTTGTTTAACCTCAAAAGTACAATTTTTAATTAAACATTGCTGAAACAGCAAGTTTCTCAGTGGATCTGCACTCAAAAATGCAGCCTAGGTGGAGTAGTCGAACACAGATCCACTGATCCTTTAACACAGAGCATCTTCAGAAGACAAGTTGATAAAGAAAATTTTTAAAATCTGTATTGTTCGATACAGCACTGTTCGATACGGTTCGATATGGGTACATGTATTGTTGCACCCCTAGTAAGTAACTGTGAGGTTTATTGTCAGGGTTAGGATATAAAATTTCCAAAAAATGAATGGAAGTCAATGTAAAGTCCCCACAAGGATAGAGAGACATAGTTTCTTGCTGATAATCATCAGCTTTTCACTCTCCAAAATCTTTTATTTTTACCCCCAAATGTTTAGCATTAAGCTAAACCTTTAACAGTCTTTTCAATCATCAACTAGCAAACCTGTGAACCTGCATCCTTATGACTCTGACCCTGCACCAGTCCAGACACCTGTTTCCTCCGAGCACAGCTGAACTTTAACCCCCTAAAAAAAAGCTTCCTTTCTTCTGAATGAGCAGAAGGAAATAAGTCCACGGCTGCCTGCGCACACAGTGAGATAAAGCTCTGAGCCGATTCTTTCTTTTTTCTGCCTCAAAGGATGAACTCCAAAGGCTTCCCATTCTGCTCAAGCAGAACTAGTCCAGCAGCAGTTTCTGGGTTTTATCATGATGAAGGCAGAACTCATTAAAATATCACTGCAAACTATTTGTATCGAACATAGAGTTCTGTTGGTTTGCCTGTTTAGATGTCTGCTGAACATCAGAGCACAATAGAAAAAATACACCTGCTGAGAACTCAAAGCTAGAAAAACTTTGTTTTTCCTTCTTTTAAAGATGTAAAATCTTTTAGAAAAGTTTATCCTCAAGTATTCGTTGTCAGTGGTAAAAAGACATCACATTGTTCTGTTTATCATGTCACACACTAAGAATATTTTTGCAAATGTCTGTAATGTTTTTTCACACGAGTTCAACTATACAACAACTGTCCCATACACACACATTCACACACTGATTCACACACTTCACACTATGATATTTGCATTAAACAGTTATTTGCATATATTTTGAGTGGGTATATACATAAAACAATAAGACTTGTTGATAAAATAGTGGTGCGTTTTTTGAAATGTCCTCATTAGTGGCAAAAGAATTGTCGTGTTTAGTTCTTATCTGTTTACTGTGCCATGTTAGGTCGTGCTGCACTCTAAGTTACACAGTCTTCCAGTTCGTACAAGATTGGAGGCATTTTATGTCTTACTGATAAACTTTGTTTAAATCAGCACTCTGACAATCTGAGGTCAAACAGATTCTGCAGGCAGGATCTGTACCAGCCAGTTTCACAACACGTCTTTGTAAAAAACACCAAAATGGGTCTTCCTGTCTCCTATATCTTTTTTGTCATGACAACTTTCATGTGCAAATATCAACAGCTAGCTGTAGCATTTCCAGTAAACCTTAGGATCTGTCACCAGAGTTCCGTCCTTCTGCCAGAATAACAGTGCAACGTAAAACTGATGGGGAATCTAAAAGTTTTTAAAACAGTGTTTATTAACTGCCGTGAACTTTTAAAGTTAAGAGCTGTTTGAAAAGCAGAAATCTACGTTAATCTTTGAAGTAGCTGTTAGCGCATCAGTCTGGTCAGACATGAACTAAGGCCAATCAAAGAGATACAGATCAGATATGAATTCTTCACAACTTTTCCCTCAGAACCCCACTTTAAAATGTCTGAAATGTTCCTTTACTGTGAGCAAAAGTCAGCACTGTAACATACAACGTATTAACCTCCAAACCTCCAGTAAGTCATCTAGCTGTGAATCTGACAGCTATCTGTTCTACTTTCAGCAGAAAACATGTTTCCTTGTTGCCAGAGATTGCAACTTACTTCAGGTTAATAAAGAACGAATGGGATCATTTAGGGGAATGTTCAGCGCATGTTTAGAGATCATCCGTTCACATTCATACTAAAGCTATACATGGATCATTTTGTGTTGTTCAGGATTGTAAACATAAAATATAGATATTTTCGGGGGGAAAGAAATCATACTCTACAACAAAGTCATCTCCTGTAATAACGTATGACTTAAGCTCATGTATGGAATAGGAACAAAGAAATCATCTTGGAATAGTCCAACCTAACTGTCTTTATTGGGTCAAATTTATGGATTTAGTCTTTATGTTGTTTAATGAGGAGCTCAGGGTGAGTTTGAGTTGAGGGGAACGTCCCCTTCAGCTGCTATGAAACCACACAAAGGTGTTATGTGCTGAAAGCTTCCAGCGTCATAATGTACCACTTCACATCAGATCACATGACACCACAACAGCTGACCAGTTCCACAGCATCACAAATCCAGTACCAGTACGAGCAGAACCCAGTTCTATAAGCAGGTCAAACTGCAGCTGCAAACCAACACCGAGGATCATTTCTGTCCCAGAGAGTGATGGGGGGGGGGGGGGGGTTACACCTCTGTGCAGCCTCCTCCTCCTCCCTGTCTCACATAATGTCAGAGGCAGGTTCTGCCTCCATCCCCCCAGCGAGACTGAGGCGGAGGCATCAGTCTGCATCTTCTGCTCTGAATCAGGGTGTGGCAGAATTTAATTACTGACAGCTGCAGAGTTTCAGCTCATTTCACAACATAAGGATGAAATGTTTGCATTACAGTAAAGGCAGGCAGGGACGAAGACAGTGCCAATCAAATAAAATTAGTCTTTCTACTCAGGAATTTCAGCCCTTTTTTTTTAGTAATAAGGGAGGATTGTCAGCATTGGTCCAAAAGATGGCAAACTCAGAAGTCCCATTCATATAAATCCTGTTTTCTGGTGTCAACTTGGTGATGATGTAGTCCACATAAAATCCACAACTGTGCCAGAAAGGTCTTCATATTGAAATCTAGCTTTAAAAATAATAGTTGGGATTATATTAAAATCACTCTTTGTTAGGTTGTTTCTATTTCATTCAAAATGTGACAATAACCACAGGGAAATCGATTAGAATTGTTTACAAAAACCATACAATGGGACACGTTTTTGTCTTTCGGCTGCTCCCTTCTGGGAAGGCCACAAAGAGTGAAATGGAATGAAAGATTCTGAAGTATTTTTATGCCAGATGCACATCTTTACTCAAACTGGGCTTCACAACCTTCAAAAACACCAACATTTTAATTTAAGAATTAGAAAAAAAAAAAGAATTAGAAAAATAATAAGAAGCTAAGACTATTGTGATGGTAGGGTCCATTGACAACTGTCAATGCTACCTCAGCTTGTAGTACTTTTAATTTTTGTGGTTCTGAACATTTTTAATGCATTAATTCAAGAGTAATGAGAAATTTAGGAGTAAAGATAGCTTTTTTATTACCTAAAGCAAATGACCTACTCCCCTGCTCGTCACATACCTGATCTGTATATAAGGACTTGGATGAAAGACAAACACCTGCATGAGTCCTGCTGAGTCATGACAGATTTCAGTCAGCAGCACAAATTAAAGAGGACTTACCCGGGAAGGCGTGTGGGTTGGACGACCCTCTCTTGAGGCACTTGGAACAGAGAATATGTACAGAGTAGTGCAGGCCGGGCCACTCCTGCAACAGCATGTTCAGCTCCTCCACCAGCGGAGTCACAGCCTGCCAGGCAGTCCAGATGTTGGGCAGTGAGGCGTGGCTGGCAATGGAAAGGGTCTCTGCCAGCAGCTTCCCTTTAGCGGGATGGTGGCTGATCACCACAGGGACTTTACCCCGGTAGGCAAAGATCTGATACCTGCTGTCTGACCGCTGGACCACATGGCTGTTTATCTGCACACTGAAGCGTGTGAAAAGGCCAGGAGGAAACAGGAAGGGGAAGCTGTATTGTATGTGCAGCTGCTCCACAGAGAACAGGGGGCTAGCAGGCAGAGTGTTGCCACCGGCTGAGTCCTCCACCCGGGCCTCCTCACTGCTCATGTAGCTGGGGAACATGTACCAGACGGTGGCTCCGTTCAGAGGCTTGGTGCGGGGTTTGTTGATGCAGTAGCAGATTCCCATCTTTTCCAGGAGCTCCATGATGAGATGGAGGTCCTGCTGGGTCTGTATGAGTGGCCTGAGGAGCAGACGGATGACATTTGAGGGCAGGAGACCGTGTTGGAGGAAGCCCTCCACATGTTGCTGAAGATGGGTGACTTTGAGGTTCTCTCCCTTTTCATTCTCTATGACAAGACTTACTCTCCCCTTGTCTCCCTTCTCGCCCTCAGAGAGCAGCCGATCCAAAAGTGTGGACTCGTCCCTCAAGAAAAAGACATTGAGAATTTCAATAAAACGGGGAAGGTTGTGAAAAACATACTCCTTTAGGGTGATGCTGTCCTCAAAGTAGAGCAGCTTCCCGCTTTCATGCAGGTAAGATAAGGCGCTCGGCAGTCGGTCCTCGGTGAGTCCTGCCTGAAGGCCCAGACGGGCTGAGCTCCACCACGAGAGCCACAAATCTTTGGACTTAAAGTGCAATTCCTCCAGCATCTGCCAGGACTTTGGCAGCACGCGGTTGAGGTTGGGGAAAATCTCCCATTGGTCTGCAACCGACATGAGTTTCTCCTTCAGCCTCTGAACGTTCCTCTGGCTCTCCGTGCAGCTGGTGCTCAAGACGGGAGACAAGATCTGCAACCGGTGGTTCAGGATGTACTGCAGCTGGGCTTTCCTGCGCCTTAGGTTCCTGTCAGTGACACTGTAGAAGAGAACGTGAGGACTGGAGGTGCGGACGTCGTACCCTTGCTCCAGAGCGTGGTCTACTTGCTGAGCCAGGGTCCTTAGGTTCTGGACGTCGCTCCTCTCCTGCAGCCCGATCTGTCTGTGAATGTCAAGAGTCTTCTCTTCTAGTTCCTCTTCGTCACACAGGTCTGCATGAGTGCCCACCAGGCACACCACAGCGTGGGGAACTTTGGCGCACAGCAGGTGGAGGAAATACCCAACGTGGTCATAGAAGTTCTTAGCTGAGTATGCTTTGAGGTTAACAACAAGAACATAGAGAGCACCGGGGGAGAGAAAAAAAGGTTTGATAAGGTCATAGTTTTTGTTCCCTGACAAGTCGTACACTAGGAATGTGAGATGGCGATCAGCGTCCGCCACCCAGTTTGTGACTTCAATTCCCTTGTTTCCCTGGGTTCCTCCATTGTCCTGCCTTGTGCTCACCAAGCTCCGACTTAACTGGGTTTTTCCAGCATTCTTCCTCCCCATCAGGACCAGTTTCAGTCGTGGCTTCACGGAAACCTGCGACTGCGCAAGCTCTTTCTGATAGACAGCAATGTAAGGGATTCCCTTCATACACACCTCGTACGGAGGCTGGATGAGAGGGTTATCTTTTACCTTCCAAATGTTCACTTTGGACAGTTTCCCAAAGTTATCTGGAAGAATAGCTATTTGGTTACCCTGTAAAACAAGTTCCTCCAACTTCTCCAGCTCCACGATGGATTCGGGTAGGTGAGTGATGTTGTTATTGTCAAGCCAGAGGTTCACCAGCTTCACCAGCTGACCAATACCCTCTGGAATATGAGTCAGTCTATTCCTACTCAGGTAAAGTTCCTCTAAACATGTGATGCTAAGGAGAGCCAATGGAAACTCCTCAAACTCATTAGAGGACAGATTGATCATTTTTAATTTCTGCAGCTGAGCGAACGAGGAAGGCAGCGCTGTGAGGTTGTTCCCATCCAACATCAGGCTCTCCAGGTTGTGCAGGTGGCAGAAGGCGTCAGGTAAGGAGGACATGTGAAGGCTGCTGAGCCACAAGATCTTGGTGGACTTCAGCCTTGTAATGTCAGCTGGCAAAGCCTCAAACTTGTTCCCAGAGAGGTCAAGCTCCTCCAGCTCACCCAGGGCCAGGATCTCCGCAGGGAACAGGTTCAGCTTGTTGTGATCTGCATCCAGAGTCCGCAGCTTGGCAAGGCTGGAGAAGGATCTGGGGAAGTCGTGCAGATCGTTGAAGCTGATGTCAAGCTCCTCCAGAAGATGAAGCGCTCCGATCTGGGCTGGGAGGTTCAGGATTTTGTTGTGACTGAGACATAACTTTTTCAGCCCCCTCAGCTGGCCCACGCCTTCAGAAAGGTTTATCAGGCAGTTGTGGCTCATGTCGAGCTCCACCAGCTGCCCCAGCTCCAGCACCACCCGGGGAACGCTGCTGAACTTGTTCCTGCGAAGGACCAGGATGCACAGGTTGTTGAGGGTGGACCTCAGCCCATCTGGTAGCTCCTGGAGCGAGTTGTTGCCCAGGTTGAGCGCCTCTATCTCGTCTATATCCTCGGGCAGGACGATCTGGTTGTTTTTGGAGCAGAGGGTGAGCTGGCGCAGGTTGCTCCGCAGCTTCCTGGAGCGCAGGGCGGCATCCCTCCAAAACCTGGCCGTTTTCAGATTGTTCTCCTTGTCCTCCATGGCGTTGCAGCCGGAGCCCTCCTCCTCCTCCTCCTCCTCCTCCTCCTCCTTGTTTTCATTAAGAGTTCTCATGGATCCGGAGCGGCCAGCATAGCGGAAGGTGTCCCTCAGAAATCAGCGCACTCCTGAACAACAAATCGCCCTCAGAGGCAAGAGAAGGGCCACTTTGTCTCGGGGAATGATAAAGCGTTTCGACGGGAATGGGAGGAGTGCCCGCGGCCGCGGAGGCATCCTCCTCTCCTGCGCCACTCAGCACACAATGAGAGGGGACCTCTGTGCCTCACAGCTCCGGCTCCCTCCTCTTCATCACGACCGACCTCATGGCGCACAGAAGCGTCTGCTTGTCCTGGAAGATCCGAGCGATTCTCTGAAGGTTTCCCGAGCCGCCGTGTGTCCAGCAGGCAGCGGATGGTGGAAGTGAGGCGGCAGCTGCTGCTCACACTGCGTCAGATATCTGAGCTCCTCCTTTTCTCCTCCTTCCTGCTGTGCCGAGAGAGGAGGAGGAGGAAGAGGGAAAGTAACCATCATCTCAGTTAAACCTGCTGCTAATCAAATATTCTTAAAAATGTAGCAGCCTATGGATGTGGATACAAATATTGGTACTTTTCTCAGAAAAACAATGATTCCAGGCAACGACCAGGAAGCTGCAGGATCAGGAAATAAATACAAATAACTAAAGTTAACAAGAAATTAATATCAAAGTCCGGGTGTTATTTTTTATTTATTTATTATCATTGTTGT